CAATTTAATTTCTCATAGCTGTTGCATAATTTGAAGGGATATTTAGTTGAAAATTGTAAGCTATAACCTGCTTTTAAGAAAAGTAGCCGCATGGAAAAGGAAAACTAAGATTTTATGTCAGCAAATGAACAGAGGTTTATAAACAAATATTTTAAAACTGCAGGAGAGAAACCACGTGTGAAACACACTGACCAGTTTGGCATAACCTCGGTGATCTAGGATGAGATTTTCTGGCTTGAGGTCCCTGTAAATGATTCCTTTGGAATGCAGATAGGCAAAAGCTTCTACCACACATGCCGTGTAAAATCTGGTTGTAGAATCTTCAAACGAACCTCTGAGATACAGAAAATGGAATAAAAAGTGTATGAGAAATTGGTTTCTGTAATAAGACTTCTTTTTTGTTTTTCCTCATTTTACTGTATTCCTTTGCCAAAATTTAACACAGAGACCAATGTCTTACTGGCTAAATGTCACATGATTGCCATTGCATTGGGTTTTCTAAAGTATTAGAGGATCAAGTCAAGCAATTCTCTGTCTTTATAAAGGAAATAGTGAAATCTAACTTCCTGAAAGGGCTGAAGAGGAGTTCAACAACACGTTGCATTTCACGTACTTAGTGGCTTCCTCTCAACAGCCCACTACAATCTAAAAAGGCAAAGAGTTTTGCCTTTTTAGGGGAGAGTGGGCAGTGGGCAGGAGAGAAAATGAATACTATTTTAGAGCTTGTCTACCAAGCATTGGTTTTATAAAGGAAAAGATTATGGATTTATTCATATTTATTCTTAGAGGGCTTGTTTTTGAATCTATCTAAATAATGTAGATGCTTCATGAAAATCAGACTAAAAGCTACTGTTTTCAAGAAACCACTCTGGAAATGAATTACAATGCTACCGATGCAATCATATTGCAAACTAAGTGTTCTCCTGTTTTTCAGTCTTCTGTCATCAAGATGATATCTATTTCCTACACTACTGCCTTCTTATTAATAGAAAAAGATGAAACTAAAAAACAATTGGAAAGAAAAAGTTAATTGGAAGGGAATGTTTATCAGTAAACTTGATTATAATGTTTAGCAAGAAAGCTCTTTGTAGCTCTCTGTCTCTCTGTCTCATCTTTGTCTATCTCTCTCTTTACATATTGTGTGCATAACAATAAAGAAAAAAACCCTTGGCATCTAAGGTGAACTCTTTGGTTCTAGGTCAGAATCTTTATATTTAACTGTTTTTTTTCATGGAACTCCTTAAAAAAGATAGACTGCGTTCTATTCTTTTTTCCCAAGTAGTAAACACAATTTAATAATTTCATAACTTAAGAATATTAGTGTGAACACCAGCTCTCAAGGTGGTTGAGATGTAACATGAGAGGCAAGCACACAGGTGGTTTTATAATAGGTAGTATGACAAAAATGGTAGCCCCAGAACTTGCTTTCATGAGAATTCATAATGCCTGTTTGCATTTTGGTGACATTTGCTGCTTTTTCAAAATTAAGGAACAATATCTAACAAACTGGGATATGCCTAAATTTTTACAAAATTCATCAATGAATCCAAAGCTAAAGCAGTTAACTTTCAGGTCATTTTTCAGAAATAGATTATGTCTTCCAGAAAGGGATAGCCTTCATTTCAACTACTAATATTCTCTGATTGGCACCGAAATAATCAGCTCTTCGTTTGAAATACAATTCTAGGAATGATATCTACTTCTCTAGATACTAGAATCTTAACTATAATTACTAAGTATCTGAATGGAACGATTGTTAATTTATGAGGACAAGAGAAAGGTTGAGAACTGCAGCCATACCAGGAAATGAATGATATACTTTAGGCAGCAATTATCCTCTGACTTGGAGCTATCCTTAACAGAGCTAAAATGCTATATAATCCTGTATATCGGAAAAGGGATTAAAGTATTGCCTTGAAGGTCCTTTCTTCTTGGCTCTTAATTAAGTTATGTATGTTTGCCTATCAAGAGTAGCTATTTCTTTCAATTGGAGAGATTATTTACATTAAATAGTAAGCATCTGTGTATATATAATTAACATACAGCTTTAGCTATATTGAGTGCTGTATATGACTTGAATCCCTCCTCAGTGGAGAACATTGAAAAGCAAAGCAAAACAAAGCAAAACAATACAAAACAAAACAAAACAGTGCATGGAATAGAATCTTATTTTATTTTCCATTGCGTGTTTTATTTTAATTGACAGATTACTCCTCACATCACTCTCTATGATTTGGGTGGGCCTTATTGAAAGCTTACAAATTCTTGATTGGTGTTAGAAGAAGAGATTATTTCTGCAGTTGTGACTCTGGGAACAAATCTCTGCTTTCCTTAATATTCAGTTGTTAATGGAACCACACAGACAAATGCATTAGTAATGTTATAATGGGAGTAAACGCTTATGTGAGAGATCAATTTCTCAGGAAATCCCTGCTGAATGGTATATCTATATTCTGAGTCAGCTGGTTATTAGCAGGAAAATCCTAACATGAACTCAAATTCATGAGAGGAATCTATAAATTAGGAATATAAATTAGGACCCTGAGGCAAAAATCCTGAGCTCAGATCTGGGCTCCACTTGCTACTTGATCTGGAGCAATTGACTGTACTTCTCTGGGTCTCAGTATGCGCATTTGCAAAACGGGGCCAATAGTAGTAACAATCCCATTGGGTTGTTGTTAAGATTCAAATAATTCATGCATATACTTAGAATAAAGTGTCTGGCACACAACTCATAATAAATAGTAGCCATTATAATTGAATATCAGAAAACTCTTCTCTAGCCATCGTATCTTAATCTAAGAAAACGAACTAACATGATATAGGACAGGTCTGAAGTATTTTGGGAGTGAAGGCGGGGACTTTGCAACACTAATTATCACTGTTACTGAAGTGCTTCTCTCTGCCAAGGCTAACTGCTGTGAATCAGCTCTGAAGAATCCTCTGCTAATCTCTGTTCTTTTCACTTTTCCCATGCTTCTCACAAATGTACAGGCAAAAAATACCCTTTTTTTGCCTCCCAATCAAAACCCTCCTTTTTTTCACCATGAAGTAAACTGACTGAAAATCATATATCTTTGAGTCTTTAGTTCTTGATAGCTCTATTTATTTGTTTTAAGTTTTCTTTGGTCCTGAGCCATTTTGGA